AACATCGGTGATGAGTGGATTGCTACTTCAGTGATGGATGGATTGCAACATCAGTGATGGGTGGATTGCTACATCAGTGATGGGTGGATTGCTACTTCAGTGATGGGTGGATTGCTACATCGGTGATTGCTGAATTGCTACATCAGTGATGGATGGATTGCTGCATCAGTGATGGGTGGATTGCTACATCAGTGATGGGTGGATTGCTACATCAGTAATGGGTGGCGGGTTTAATGACACATTGAACATTTTCCGCGATCTAACCCCCCCAAAAAAAACTCCACTACGGATGATATTGGTCGCGAAAGCCTACGCGTTAAAATGTGCACTGTGTTGATAATGCATTAACAATAACAACAGAGCGAACGGTTGTAAGAGTTACGTGAACTCACCTGCCTCCGGGGACACCTGGGCGAAGGACGAAATATTTAAGGAGTGAAACATTGAATATGATCAGATGGCAGGTGGATTCTTACATCGCGGGATCGTGATAGGCTCGGGGGGGGGGGAGGGTAGTGGATCTAGACTATGCTGCTGCTGCTTCTGTTTCCTGCTATTGCTGCTGCCGATGATGGAATTATTGTATAATAATTCGCTCGCGGCATTTTACAGATGCATTGCTGCCGAATTACATTGGTGATGTGTGTGGGTACGGTGGGTACACTCATGAGAATGGTTTACAACCGACGGATCGTCCCCATGCCCAGTTCATGCGATGAGCAATGGACATGCGTGTCGGCGGAGTGGTGGCGCAGTGGTTAGCGCACTGCTCTTTCGAACATGGTAGGAGCACGAGTTCGAATCCCGACCACGGGCGCAACTAATCCAGCAGCTGAAGCGGTCCTGGATCCCAACGCCTCCTTTTACCGACCCGCACTGAACCAGCGTGGTGAAGTATGGTCAAACAACTCCCCCACCACGCCTCCCCCACGCGCGGCGTGGGAAGGGCGTCATCCAGCAGCGGATAAACACCACGTGCCATTCGTACACACACGTACGTACAATTGTCTGCGAGCGCAATATGTTATACCAATTAGCAGTTAAGTCCTTATATTTCATATATATATTTTTTGCAATATTGTGTTCTCTGCAGAAGAAAATGTAATTGTGATATTGTTTTAGTGAACAATTGATTCATCATTTAATCGACCGTAAGAAATAACGTTCAAAATCGACAAATAGACAATGAAATGGCATTTAAATCGACAAAAACAGCACAGGTTATTTTTCCCGATTGATTATTTTGTTGTTGTTGTTGTTGTTGTAAGACATTAGCGCTTGCATCCCTTCTAGGCTTGACCGATCATAATCATCGGCATCATCGTCAGCAACGGTAGGGTGCGTGGTTGTGCGCGCGCGTGTGTGTGGGGGGGGGGGGGGGGGCTTGGATAACCGATACCCCAACCACGGCTTGGTCAACTCGGCACACACACACTGCGTTGTGCTCATTCTTTTTGTTGTGTTTGGGCGATCGGCTCATTAAAAATCTTGTTGTCCTTTTAAAAAATATATAATTCATGTTTACGTGTGTTCAACAAAACGCCCGTATCATTGTATTATTGTATTATATATATAATTCAGTAACTTGCGGAAATATATACTGTGTGTGTGTATATATAACGCGGCAACATTTCATCGTTTAAAATAAATAAAAAAACAAGCTATTTATAACGAAGGCGTTGTTGGGTTTAAATCTCGTCAATATAATACAAAGAAAAAGACCGTGGTTTATTTTTCGATTTAAAGCTTTCGTGACTGCAGGGATTCATCTTCTTGGTTCTTTCGGTAAAGTCACGTAGAAGGGAAATAATGAAATAATAAAAATAAAACATAATAAAATAATTCTCACGACGTTTCGGCCACAGACATGTTCTTCACCTGAGGACGGGTGCTTGCGTTGTGGCCGAAACGTCGTGAAAATTATTTTATTATATTTTATTTTTATTATTTGATTATTTCCCTTCTACGTGACTTTACCGAAAGAACCAAGACGATGACCGTGGTTTATTTTACTCTGGTCACTCAGGCGCGTCGGGGAGATTTACATTTCTGCACGCAAACTGTTACGCACCACCCCCTCCCCCCGGTGTGACAACGCGGTCTTGTTGTAGCGTACTCAGCCCGCACGCCTATGCTCCCCGCGTACACCGCAAGCCGTAACGGCGCGGCGTGGTGAGCTTCCATTGCAGGATAACAACAACAATAACAACAACTACCAACACGAAGACCTCCATCTGTTGCAAACAAAGCGACTGGTTATACGTGAACGCGTGCGCGTGCTACGTACGATTTGCGTGCGACGAACAAGGTTCATTGCCCGAAACGTCGCCCATTATATGTTACGCGTATGTATAGCATATGTAAAACGAAGAACGCGTTGAGTTGACCTGTTGTGTTGTTTGTGCGAGAGAGTAAACAACGGGCCGTGCTGCTCGTGACATCTCTCACTGCTCATTGAACCGAGCGTCGCGCGATCACGATTTTGTACAACGAGAGCGTTGGCAAAGAAATCGATCATCGCCACTCGGGAGTGATGATACGGTGGGGGGGGGGGGGGACGAGTCTTGTGAGATTTGCCAGGCTGCCACCTTCGCTGAGCTTTCGATGCCACCGCACGCGTCTATTGACGCAGAGCGTCTTGCTGCTGCTGCGAGCGATGGAGCGAGTCTCTACATTAATACGAAACAATACGGGAAATAATAATAACGCACTGTATATTATTAGTATTAAATGTCGTGGTGTGTATTATATTCATTAATAGATCACGCGTGGCAGAAATGACCCTAATCAGGGATTCACTTTTCACGAGAGATTTTTTGGTTTACTGAGCGCTGCTATAGGCCTGGCTTGCCGTCGAGATTATCGGCGTAAGGCACTACCACTTAGATCGCAAGACACGGCTTTCCATAACAACATCATCATACCGCATAACCGATATTCGTACGGTCGTATCACCTCCACGTGTATGCAGGTTCATGCCAATAAATAAACGGACTCGCTATTGTTGTCAGTGTGCCATCCAGTTCGCGAACAATGAGATGAACGCGAGCTTGGCAAACGAACACAACAATCGAATCTCAAAACGATATCACGGATTTTTATTTTAAAAAGTATACAAACAGGACATCTTATCGTGCGCATATTGTGGGACCGGTTCATCAACTGGACTCGTTATGATGATACGACATCATCTCCCATCTCCAATTCTCGGGTCTAGTCGGTTTTGTTTTAGCATGGATTCAAATTCATACGGATCCGTGATTTACAGTCGGTTTAGACGAGCGAGTGCTGATAATGTGAGCCGAGATAGGTCCAGAACGCTGTGAATTTACAGTTTGTCGGAAAATATGGATATCGACTCATGCTGCCCTTATAAACATATACTAAAGAAATTAAAATCATCTTCATAGCGTATATAGGCATATATTGTAAAATAATACATCATTACTAGAGATAGGCGTAACCTTGTAGTCTAGTGGTAGTGCCTTACGCCGATCATCCGGCCTTCAAGCACAACTGCCTACGCACCTCCGACTATGCACGGCCGGCTACGTACGGTGCGAAAGAAGTCCAACACCCCGTACATACATTAAGCTGTGGCGGTTACACTACGCTGCAATAAAACCAGCCAATTAATCAATTCCCCGTGCAATTTGTGTTATCCCCAACACAAATTCAATCAATGGGAATTAACTGACGGCAAAAGGCACGCGCGCGTGTGTGTACGTGTGTGTGCGTGATTGGGGAGCGGTGGCGAAGTGGTTAGCGCGCTGCGCTGCAAACCCGGCCACCCGAGTTCGATTCCCGCTCACGACCACCAAGCGTTACGATCATTTGAACTGGGCCTCTCCCTAGCTCGACTCAGCCTCGAATGAGTACCTGCTGTAAACATCGCCACGAGGGAGACAAAGGCGGCAGGGCGTGGTGCTGGACACCCACCCCGTCGTGTGCCCTTGGCTAGCGTTCACCGGTGCTCGCGAACAGCACTTGCCCCCCAAAGTATTCTCAAGTCATGCACGGGGGAACTTTGTCTTTGTGTGCAATTACGCCGCACTTCTCGGGGACTTGAACGCGAGCGATGTTATTAGCTCCGGCTCCACGCTACCTCCTTGCTCGAGCCATTAGTGACGATAGCACTTGTGCTAAACAGCTGCACGTGCATTGTCCGTGGTGGCGGTGGTGGTTGTGAATCGTGGTGTGCGTAAGGAAGAGCGGTGGCGCAGTGGTTAGCGCAACTGTGCTGTGATTACGAAGCCGGACGAATCTGAATTCTAATTACCCTACCGCGTAAAATTTCGATTTAAAGCTTTCGTGACTGCAGGGATTCATCTTCTTGGTTCTTTTGGTAAAGTCACGTAGAAGGGAAGTAATAAAATAATAAAAATTAAACTTAATAAAATAAAATAATTCTCACGACGTTTCGGCTACAACGCAAGCCGCGGTTAATATCAATGGAGAGCTGTGAATCTGAACCGATTATGTTCACCGCCGGAATAAAATTGCCACCCTGACCGCCTGCCACCATGACTGCCTCCCCCCACTCCCGCCTCCACCCACACCCTCCACCCACATCGTCCACCCAGATCGTCCACCCAGATCGTCCACCCAGATCGTCCACCCACACCCTCCACCCACCCGCCCAGGCCCGCCGATTATCCCCATAATGCTCATGCACTCGCCCAGAGCGGTGATGTATGGTCAAACGGCAACCGTGACTGACCATCATCCAGCAGTGGGAGTACAAACGGGGCCTGTGCAAGATTTGATTGATGATAAATGATGTGGTGGTGGTGGTAATACGGTACTCATGGAAGGTTTGTGTTGTGTTTGTTTTGATCGAGAGCGCATATTACTCACTTCATAGCAGACGTGTTCTGTTCGAAAGACACAGTTTTCCGTTTATTGTTATTATTTTTGTTAGCAAAAAAAAAATGCCACACGCCAGAAAGCTGTACACAGACAACAACAAAATAAGCAACGAATGGGAGACATCTGTGTGCTGCCAACCCAAAGGAAATTATACTTTGAAAAAAATCCAATGACGGCTGAATTCGACGGATATTACTTGAACCTTTATATATATATGTGTATGTGTGCGTATATGTACGTATAACAAAAAAATATGCCTATCATAAGCCTCTCCCTCTAAAGCAATGTGAACAAAACAAAGGCATATACACTCATGTACATCCGATAGATCTTAACGAAATTAGTATTTGATGCTGAAAGTAGCCGTCGTCATTGAATTACAAATCATATATCAAGAAAATATCCCACGCTACAAACTCTCAACACATGCGTCAATAAACACTCCCCTAAACGGAATATATATATACAAGGAGAGGCGACGTTTCGGACAAACGGTCTTTCTATTTGCCATGAAAAATGTGCCATTGCCTGAAACGTCGACTATTTTAATATAAATATTACTTTTAAGGCCACGGTGTTATTGACAAATGTGTTTTTGTTGTGGTTGTGCACTACTGGCCAAAGCAGCAGCATCATAATCATCACCACCACACAGCACGTGTCGTGTAGACCATTGTACGTTGATCATTGTGATATTATTATATTTGACGTTAACACATTACTCATGAACCTCTCTCTGTCTGTGTGTGTTGATTAGTCAGTCAACCCATGGCACCTGCAGGGTCTGTTCCACGACCTTCCTGGCATTGAGCCATCGACACTTCACGTGGCCTCCTCAAAGTGCACCTAGCCTGGCACGAGCGCCGGGGTTGACGTCTCCACGACTTTAGTTGTTGTGTGTGTCTTAATTATTGCAACTACTATTACGACCAATTATTGTTCTATTTCGAGAATGCATGTTATCTACATTTGTACAATTATTGCAATATACATTTATATACACAGCAAAACGCGTGGATTGTTACGTGAATGTACATCTCATATATATTATAGATTTGTTTGTTGGTAAAGTACATTATGCACATAGCCGCTGTATTTCGTCGCGAGATGCCAAGGTAGCGTTATATATGTCTTGGGGGGGAATGCGATTCGTGAAATCGGTAATGCGAAATTATATTTGGTGGTGACATAAACATTTCAACTCAGAATAATAATTAAAAGAAGTTGATTTCGTTTGTGTGTGTGTACTGTGTACATATAGATACATACATACACGACTATAATACACACACACACTTACTCACTCACTCACATACATACAAAGATAAAGATCTCCCCCGCTATAGCCTTTACACGCTATTGGGGCAAGTGCTGTTTAGGCCAAGCACCCACGAAGGCTGGAACGGTGCCCGATTAGGTGACGTGACCAGGCACCACGACCGACCGTCTTTGTCTCCCAGTGCTGATGTTTTACACACCGCAACATGTACTCATTTTAAGGCTGAGTCGACCTAGAGGGAATGACCAAATATTCGCCACTGGTACATTGACCGTGAACGGGAATCGAACTCAGGTCGTCGGGTTCGTAGCGCAGTACGGTTAACCACTTACACTCACCGCTCGCCACACACATACACACGCAAAGATAACGATCTCCCCTGTAGCCTTAACCAAGTTTTGGGGCAAGTGCTGTTATAGCGAGTACCTGTGAAGGCCGGCACGGCGCACGAGAGGGTGGGTGGGCCACCACAAAGCTCGGTCGCCTTTGTATCACTAGCGGCGATGTGACACACACACACACACACATATGCACTCACATACATACACATACATACACACGTGTATGTATGTGTATGTATATATATATATACAGTAGCGTGCAGCGATGGAGGCTTACTACATGCTATCCACATGCATGTGTGTAGCCAGTACGTAGCATGACAGAGCCAGCTGTTTAGCGCACGTGTTCACTTCATCGCGCGGATGATTGTTCAAGTCCCTACCAATTGCTCTGCCGGCAGTGCTGCTGATGCTGCTGCTGATGATGATGATTCAGAATCGGAAGGATGGCACCGTTCTTCAAAGCGGGGCTGCCCACCCCCGCGCCGCAGTAGCTAAAGTGGAGGTTGTACTTGGTGGCGTGGTGAGCGCCGTACAGCGCGTATGGGATGCAAGTCTGGAACGCTTCGGGCTGCACCTCCAGCAACCGGAGGCGACTTTCGGCGGCCGCTGCAGCCGCCGCTGCCGCCGCAGCCGCGGCCGCCACCGATGGCATGTGGCCGTGGTGGTTGTGGTGGTGGTGGTGATGCAGGGAGGACGTTGGTGAGCCATCGAGTCGTCCGTCACCTCCTCCTCCACCACCACCTGCAAGTCCTCCGCCTCCTAAAATCCCCGTGGAGCTTGCCCCGCACGGCTTTCCGTCTCTGACCAGCACGGGCACCACGACCCTGCGAGGTGACAGCGCGGAGCACGCGGGGCCGTGCAGCGCGTGTATCCCCTGCTCGACGCGCGCTCGCTTCATCTTGTAGCGGTGGTTCTGGAACCAGATCTTCACCTGGGTCGGCGTGAGCTTGAGCAGGCTGGCCAGGTGCTCGCGCTCGGGAGCCGACAGGTAGCGCTGGTGGCGGAAGCGGCGCTCCAGCTCGAACGTCTGCGCCTTCGAGAAGAGCACCCGACGTTTGCGCTTCTTGCCCGGCTCCTCGTCCGCGCGGCACGACAGAAGTTCCGTCTCCTCTTCGGCGGCCTCGCCCACGCCCTCCCCGTCGACGTCTCCGTCCGCGTCGCCAGCGCCGCCAATTCCGCCGCCAACGCCACGTGGCATCCTCATCAGCTCGTCCTTGCCGCTGATGAGGATGCCGCCGCGGCTGCTGTCGTTGCTGCTGCTGCCGCTGCTGCTGCTTTTGCTTCCGACGCCAGCGGGGAATTCGTGACCGACCGCCGCGCGGAGCTGCAGAGGCAGCGGCTGGCAGCGGCGAACTGCGCGGGGCAGGCGACAGACACGGAGATGGGATGGAGAGATGGGAATAGGCGCGATTCACGATCATTCATTTTCACCACCAAAGACAAAGACACCCAATCCCGCCGCCGCCGCCGCGTGTAGCCCGTAACAGACTGTTGGGGCAAGTGCTGTTAGCGAGCACCTGTGAAGGCCGCAACGGCACACGAGGGAGATGGGTGGCTAAACACCACACCCGGCCGCCTTTGTCTCCCTAGTGGCGATGTTTGCACGCTGCGCTAGCTACTCATTCGAGGCTGAGTCGACCTAGAAGAGGCCCAGGACCGGTTCAGATAATCGTCACTGGGTGTCGATCGCGACGTCGCGAACGAACTCGGGTCGCCGGGTTCGTAGCGCAGCGCGCCAACCGCTGCACCACCGCTCCGCACCAACATCGTCATCGATGTCAGGCAGTGGTCAATCTGCTGCTGGATGAATTCCTCGCCGAATCGAGTCGATCCACCCCGAGTCATCGTCGTTGCCTCTCGCCGTCCTGGGATGTTAATCCGCGACGGTCGCCTTCCCCTCGGACGCGTTCTATTCCTTGATTGCCTCTCCCTTATTATGTTTGATCAATCTGCCAATTTATTTTTAAAGCCTTTGATGTCTGGGCTCTAAACCCTTTTTTCACACCGATTCGTTACGTTGTTATTATTATTACCATTGCTTTTGTCTTTCCTTAAAATGTCTAACACCTTTACGAGTAATACAGTTTAACATACATACAACTGTTAGTTTCTCTAGATGATATTAAGATGATGTTGAGTCCGTCTGCCTATCAGCCAGCAACATTCGTTTAAACAACACACGCGTCGCACCGCTTTCGACATTCTGGGTCTCATGAGCAGAGACCGGCGTTATTCGACAGACACTGCTGGGTTTCAGAGATGTTATTGGTAAGATCGCTCCCTAATACTTGCCGGGTCCATGTTCATCGCAAACGGAATTAATGATGCAGCAATTCTCGTAGTATATCTCGCGCAGTGAGTGTATAATGATTACACGTTGAACGATAACCGTCCGCCAGCCAAACAGAGACCCATGCAATGAAGCTGTCACTAATTTCGAATCATAATTATGAAAATAAAAATATTGGTCATGAAAGCCTTTACGTATACAACACAATCATTCTAAAACAACTCATCGCGAGCACATACACCTTTTAAGATATATCCTGTTGGTTGTATTTACCTGTGTGTACTTACATATATATGGCAATTTCTCTATCGTATATCCCAGATCTTTTTGTTGTTGCTGATGTTACCTGCGTTCCTTCCGCTACGGACTCTCGCCTGGTTCCTCGAAGTAAAACTTGTCGATTGGACGTCTTAAATTCACGGTGATTGTAAATCACTAAGGTGGAGAGAGAATGCCGTCCAGGTGAAACAGATTTTCAATGAACACGGCGAACTCTCGCGATTATAAGACGCACTCGTGGTTTAAAAGCAACGCACAACATTCGGGGTGCGTCTTATAATCCGGCCTTCATAGGCGCTCGCTAACAGCACTTGCCTCAAAAGTATGTTAAGGTTATACGGGGGATCTTTGCTTTGGTTGTTTGTGGGGAGCGGTATCGTAGCGGTTAGCCCGCCGAGCTATAAAGCCGGCAACCCCAGTTCGACACCCACTCACGGTCAACACCAGTGACGTTTGTCTGAACCGATCCTAAGCCTCCCCTAGGTCGACTCGGCCTCGAACAAGTACCTGGTGCGGCGTGTAAAACATCGCCACTAGGGAGACAAAGGCGGTCGGGCGCGGTCGCTCGCCACTCGCTCCCTCGTGTTCAGTGCCGGCCTAAGTCAGTGTAAGCTCGATAGCAGTACTTGCCCCTGCAGTCTGTTAAGACTACACGGGGGATATTGGTCCTTTTGTCAACGAATTGGTATTGTAACGTTTATTAGCGCTACTCTCAGAAACATCTTATAATCCAGAGAATACGTGAATATTATTGATGATCAGTTTAACACGTAGGCTTTCGCGACCAATATTATTCATAATCAACGTTTTTGGGTTTAGATCGCGTTATTTATAAATGTGTCGTATTCCTCCACCACCCGACACGGCCAATCAGTAAAAAAGTGTCACGTTGACAAAAGACAAATAGTTCACTGCTTTAGCCCACCGGTGTGTTGAAGCGTGAAACCACATCATTTACAATTTGAGTACGACGTTTCGCTCGTAATTGCATCCAGCATCATCGGGCAATTCTCCAGAATTATTGATGATGATATTAATACTGTCGTGTGTGACTACAGCCGATATCACGCTCGTGAGCTGTGCTTGTAATGAACCAAGACGGCTTCGTCCCATCGAGTCGCGTCGCGTAATTGGCGCCTGCATCGCCTGTCGTTGTTGTAGAGTCCCAGACAAAGTCGATCTCTCTTCCCAATTAAACTGCCTGCACGCATGTTGACTGCTGTTGCTCCTTTGGCAGTGATGCACAAGCACACACACGACAACAACAACAGCAGCAAACTCAACACGATCGTCAATGACAACACTGAGTGGGCTTCAACAGAACAAGTTTATATATACGGGGCGACGTTTCGGGCACTGGCCCATTTTCAAAGCACATCATATTTTTGCTATGAAGAAGGCAACTTTTCTGTTAAACGATTATTTTTCATAGCACTGAATTTTCTTGCTAATAAGAAGGGCCATTGACCGAAACGTCGCATATTACATATACATTGTTTCTATTCAAATGTCAAGGCCACAAGCACACGGTATTGTCTTTGACGAACGCGATGCGTTTAATTGTTATCTGTGCTCTCCCGAATAGCGCCCAATCAATCGTGACAACAACAACAACAACACACCCATCAGAATATACGTGGTATTTATAATAATTACACACACGCACGCGCACGCATGGTGGAAGTAAGATTCTGGACTTGTGTTAAAAAGAGAGCAAAATCGTTACTCGGATTTCGAGCGTCTAAATATAGATTATTATTTAAAGTTTTGTTTTGTATATAGTAGTATTATTGTTCACAGACATGTACGCGCATGCACGCGCGCTTGTGACACGCGCACATGCGCGCGCGCTTACGCTGGGCGCTAGATATTAGCACCACGGCTGACGTTACACAACAAACAGCGACGAGCTGCGCTTGTAAACCACTGATTACAACGTCAACCAATGCATGTGATTAAACGTTACAATCTTTGTTCGTGAGTCTGTGTCTTCAAGATTGTCAATTTCCGTGCTGTTCTTTTAAGTCGCAAATTACCTTGCATATGCAACGTTTATCGGTAGATATGTAATTAAGCATGTAGAGTTTTTTTGTCATATAAGAAGACTTTTATTCTTTTAAATAATACGTGTGTGTAGTGTAATCTGGAAATATACATGCTATTCGCAAACATTGAGAAATACAATAATATTTGATGATGATGAAGATGATATTTTGGGGGAGTAGTGGCGCAATAATTAGCGCGCTTCGCTGTGAATCCGCAGCCAAGACGGGATTGACATCGCAGAGTGAGTTAAACTCGCGGCCCCGACTGACATCACTGGTGAAGTATGATCAAGCAACCCAGACGACTCACACGGGGTGGGGAGCCCTTTAATCTAACACTGCACTCACAACCGCCTGTCAATCAAAGTGATCATCGCGATCAGACGAATTACATTACAATTCAACAACATCATCGTCATCATCAGCATCAAACACGATGCGTGATGATGAAGCTTGCCGATGGCACAACTTCTAGATTTGAAGCTTTCGTGACTGCAAGGATTGCTATTCTTTGTTTTTTCGGTAAAGTCACGTAGATAAAAAATTAAAATTTCAATTAATAAAAGTAAAATAAAAAAAGATTTAACTTTTATTAAATTTAATTTAAAATAAAAAAATATTTTACTTTTATTAATTTTAATTTGTTTTATCTACGTGACTTTACCGAAACAACCAACGAAGATGGCACAACTGCTCAACCGGACTGACGAGGGTGCTGAGCTGCGGACATTGAGGACGAGACTCGCCCTTGGGCGTGCACTTCTCAACCCCCGTGAGTTGACCACTGCTCCCGAATCGTCAGCCGAGTGCGATCGACGCTGTCGCAACTCGAAATCTCGAACGGCGTTGAACCCGGCTAAGTCATCGAGCACCGAGGCAGCCCGGTCGAATGACGGAGAAGCTGCGAGGTTGCCAAAATACGGCAGCAATATTCATAAATCCATCTGCGCGGAGTTTCTCCGTGGGCTTGCCCCCCTCGTATGGGGTTTTCTACGGGCGGCCCCCGGGGGTGTTCCTCTCGCTCGGAGCCAACCCGTCCCGTTGACGGCGTTGTCCAAACAAAGTAACGGAGCAAGACCCTCCCCACGCAAGTGCGCCTCGAGGCTTCGCGCTACCTTGCTGGATGCACAACGCGCATTGCTGTTGGCGGGTTTTGTTGTTGTGTTGTTGTTGTTGTGTTTCGTTTGTTGTCCTTCCCACACACTTGCGAGTAGCACGGTTGGCTACGTACGGTATTAAAGACGTTCAACATAGGTACGTACAAAGCTACGCGCGACAAGGCAGAGAGATCAACATCCCTGCTGCGTGGATGTCCGTGGCTCTCGACGTCCGACGTTTCGCTCCACTATCCCCGAGACCGGAATCTCAGGAGCACCCATCGGCTCGGCGTTGCTGGCCGTTCCTTAAGGAAGCCCCCAGCAGTAGCAGCTCGCGGAACGTAACATTGGACCTCACGCCGATGAACTTAGCACGCGGATTAATCGTTCATCTGTTTCCCATCTGCACGGGTATAGAGCGTTGCCCCCTCTCGCAATGCGCGGGTTTTCTCCGGGTGCTCCGGCTCCCTCCGCACGTGTTTGTATAATGAAAATATATATTTAAAAAAACTCACCATTAATCGGTTGAAAACGACTCAATCAAATAATATCCCCAAAGTAGCATCGGCGCCCCTCCTGCAAACGGACCCTACGACTCAGCCGTGGCTTTCCACGACGGCTCGACGGTCGAGCGCATCGATTTTATCGCGAAAATCACAGCAATCATTACAAACTCACGCGAATAATCGCCGTCGTCTTCGGCCTCGCGCAGCCACCTGCGGCCGCCGGCGTCCTCGAACCCACGGAAGGGAGCCTCCTCCTCCTCCTCCGCCTCCTCCTCCTCCTCCTCGGCCTGCGGTCTCTCGCCTCCCCGCGAGCCACCGGGGCGAGGTTCGATCCCCGATGCGCTCTCGCCCGCGTCGCTGCTCTCCGACGCGGAGTCGCCGTCGTCGTCCTCCGAGTCCCGCAAGCCGAGGATGTCTCGCACCGAGAAACTGCACGGTTTGACGCTGAGAGCTGGCATCGTAGCGGCGGCGGTGGTGGTGGTTGTGGCGGTGGTGGTGGCGGTGGTGGTGGCGGTGGTGGCGGTGGTGGTGGCGGTGGTGGCGGTGGTGGCGGCCGCTTCGGAAAGGCCGTTATAGCCGTCGTCAGTCAAGACGAGTCCGGAGTGAAATCACGATCGTGATTATTATAACCAATACAAATAATTATTGTAGTGGAGGTGGCAATAATGATGATGATGATTGAGATATGATAACGGTAGGCTACGATGTATCGCTGTAAGCCACCCCCACCCCCAGCTGCGAGTGTCAGATAACTCCTCTTTTAAATATATATGTGTGCATATATGTGTGTGTATATATATACCCAGACAAGCTTCGATTAACGCGTGCCTGTTGAAGTGGAACAGGTGCGTCGCCCAAATGTTAAACTCGCCAATCTGTCTCTGCTGCTGTTCGCCTGTCGCTGCTATTCGCTGTTTGCTGCGACTGCCGCTCACTGCTGCTGCTGTTGCTGCTGATGTTGACGATGTTGAGAATTACTGAGATCTCAGCGGCTTGACCTCAGAACCCCTTCCGCACAAAGAAGAAGACGACGAGGCAGAAGCAGCAGCAGTAGCAGCAGGACCAGGAGATCAAGCTGAAGAAGTTGCAGTCGGGAAAAAAAATTGACCTCTGGGCTGAGTCTTCTCGAGAGAATCAAGTGGCGCCGTGGTTAATGGTGAGTGTCTCAGAGAGTCCCTCCTTAGCCTTCGCGCGTGTCTGCCGCGCGTGCGTCTCTGTGTCAGCGAGCGCGCGTGCGTGCGTATCTGTCCGCGCGTGCGTTTCTCTGCCCCGTGTGTCTCTCTCTCTCTGTCTCTCTCCGTCCGCGCGCGCGTACGCGTGTCTCTGTCCGCGCGCGCGCGTGTCCTCTGTCCGTCTGAATTGTCGGCTGGAACTCGCTAAAACGGGTGATCGTGGAAGGGCGGGATGTATTTAAGGATTATCTTCCCGGAAGCTGCCGCTCTCTCTCCCACTCTCCCCCCCCCTCCCCACCTCTGTCTATCTCTCTATCTCACTCCTTCTCGCAGGAGGGAGAAGAACCCCCCCGGTCGCCTCGCCCATTGGAGAGAGAGGGAGGGAGATGGACCCCTCGCAATCAGTGGCCGAGAGCGCGACTCTCATTTGCATAAACTCGATAAAAACGCTCCCCCCCCCCTCTCTCCCAATCCCACGAGTCCTCTGCCCCCCCCCTCATCTCCACAGCACCCCTCCCACCCGGTTCCCACTCCGCCCCCAACTCTTTACCAAGGATGTTCGGCTGGGCGATCAATATTTGCGGACAAATAAGACAATTCTCAAGAGTTGTGTTTTTTTTCGACCCTCTCTCTCTCTCTGTATATATCCCCTCTCTCCCATCTCCCCACTCTCACTCCTCCACTCGCTCTCGTCAAGTACGTGTTGACTTTAAGGCTCGACTGAGTGGGATGCTCCCCCCCCCACTACCACTACCGCGTGGCCCCCAAGAGACACACACAGAGAGACACACACAGAGACGCACAGACACACAGAGAGACACACACAGAGATACACAGAGAGACACACACAAAGAGACACACAGAGAGACACACAGAGACAAAAAAGAACACACACATAAAGACACACACACGGAAACACACACAGAGAGACACACACAGAGACACACAGAGAGACACACAGAGACACACAGAGACACACAGAGGCACACACACAGAGACACGCACAGAAACACACACAGAGACACACACAGAGACACACAGAGACACACACAGAGACACACACAGAGACGCGTGCAGGTAGCCGACACAGAGAGAGAGAGCCTTGCCTCTGTACGCCGGGGATTATCGTTCCCAATACTTGCCCCAATACATAACCCTCCATCAGCCCAGATTTCATCTGTCCGTCGTCGTTGAATTCGATAGACAGAGAGAGAGAGGCTGTTGCGGGGTCACAGCTTCGCGATTAGGTGGCGGCTTGCGGCGGCCTTGGGGGAGGAATCCATCCAGCAGTGGATTGACCATGGCTGATGATGAGTTTGACGGCGATGGTGATGATGATGGTGATGATGATGGTGATGAGCGCGAGCAATGTGAACAGCGAGGCGCCGTCTGCCAACCACGCGCTCTGTCTGAATGAGCTCTCGTGCGTGATAATGGCAGTAAGCGATGTTATTTATATAGAGATTATAGGCGTTGTAGATTGCCGTGCAATAATAGTAATTGATAATACGGGTCGCATTCGATTTGGGTGATTTTTTTTACGCAATTAGATTTATGTGAAAATAATAAAAATATGTTTTTAAATATTGTGTGTGGCGCTCAACTTACAAGGATTTTTATTTTTTCCAACAAGAAAGGCGTTGGGGTTTCATCTGTCACGACTTGCATTGCATCTGCCGCGGCGTATCGCGTGAATGTTTAATGTGGTGGGTGTACTACGCGCGTGTGCACACTCGCGTGTACACGCGTGATGGTGCTGATGATGTGTGTACACGCGTGATGATGCTGATGATGTGTGTACACGCGTGATGGTGCTGCTGATGATGTGTATACACACGCGTGTAGACGCGTGATGATGTTGATGATGTGTGTACACGCGTGATGGTGCTGCTGATGATGTGTATACACACGCGTGTAGACGCGTGATGATGTTGATGATGTGTGTACACGCGTGATGGTGCTGCTGATGATGTGTGTACACGCGTGATGGTGCTGATGATGCTGATGATGTGTATACACACGCGTGTACACGCGTGATGGTGCTGATGATGATGTGTGTACACACGCGTGTAGACGAGTGATGATGCTGATGATGTGTGTACACGCGTAGTACACGCGTGATGGTGCTGATGATGATGTGTACACGAGTGATGGTGCTGATGATGATGTGTCTACACGCGTGTACACACGTGATGATGCTGATGATGTGTGTACACGCGCGTGTACACGAGTGATGATGCTGATAATCTGTGTACACGCGTAGTACACGCGTGATGATGCTGATGATGATGTGTGTACACGCCTGATGATGATGATGTGTACACAAGTGATGGTGCTGATGATAATGTGTGTACACGAGTGTTGGTGCTGATGATGATGTGTGTGCACGCGTGTGTACACGAGCGCGATTCGTGCGACATAGCGAACATCGCTCAACGCGGGCTCCTCTCAGCGCATGTGAGCGTGGCACAGTTTCGCTGCAGTGTCATCATCAATACACCCGCCTGATGCCAGCGCATCAGACGCACTTGCCAATAGTTTGGCAATGAAATCTGTAATTCCTAATTTTACTATTTTTGTTGTTGTAAATTGAGCATTTTAACAATGTAAATGAAACAATAAAACACTTGTCAACAACACTGTGGTCTTAAAAGAAAAACGTAGATATATAATATTGCGACGTTTCGGTCAATGGCACTTATTCATAGCATATGACATTTAAAAGATAACAATTGGGTCGGGTCTATTCTATTTTCCAATGCAAATGATCCCCACCCTTGTACGAGCAGCATTATTTTCATTGTCTTGTGTTTGTGTGCGCTCTACATCCAGTACTTTCAAAATAAATGTCTCTATAAGCATTGGTGAGTTCTTAGTTCAACGTTTGATGATGTTGATGCAAAAAAAAAATATCCCACGATTATTCAGCCGTCTTTATCTCTCCTCCGACTTCGGTGATTCGTGGTCACGGAGGTTCATGAGTTTACAGAAATCGCATGCACGTGTCAGTGCTTGCATAGTCAAGACTTTATACGGTAGAACGTCAGTGGCGCCGTGTATTGTGTTAATATAATAACTAATAGACAGCAAATGGTACGATAATATTTTCTTTTCGTACAATATTTTCAATGATCTATTAATAGTTCACCAAGAAAGCTTCCAATGCAATTATCATCATCATCATCAGCAGCAGCAGCAATAACCTTATATTCATTGTGACTATTGTCGTCATTATCATCATCACTAAAATCGTCATCCTCAACATCATTATATATGATTAACATCGTTCTTAACATCATCATCATAAACACTATTATCATCAAGATTAACATTATCACGTAATCAATATCGTCATTAAGTTCACATTATCAACATCACCACAGCCATTAAAATCGTGTATATTATCATCAATGGTGTTAATATCATAATAATCATTAAGCTCATTATCGCTAACATGGACATCGCTAGCATCATATTCATTACAGCCACCATAATCTCCTCCTTACCAACAGTAAGAAAACCATCCACATCGATGTAATTTATAATATAATATAAAACCCATGGTCAAGCATAACAACACAGTGACAGACAATATATGGGACGCGTAGCGGGGAGATGGAACGCTGAAATCTTCTCGGCTCGGTGGATTATTGCATCACGAGATCGTGTGATAGGGATGGTGACGACAACATCTTGGCGACGCCTTCATTCAGCAGTGGATTGATCATGGCTGCTACTGCAACCGCTGATGTTGACGATGATGATGCTGCTAATGATGATAAGTATAGAACGGATCTCCCCCCCACCCCCCCCAAGGCTTCTCATGCCACTCACGGCTCACGGGGTCGTGACCCCGTGGCTCGCCCATAGCCCCCGCGTGTTGCGATGACATGCATCAGTGTTAATGTATTTAGGGCCTCCTTTGTGCCGCCGTTGGCACCCCCAGCGCTGCTGTACGTCAGCGAATTCACACGGCTCGCGTTTTAGCCGCTACAAATCGCTTCTTCATTCATTCCGCTTGCGTTTCGTCCGTCATCCTCGTCGTGCTCGATCCACTGCTGTACGAAGAGCTTCCCACTCTCCACCGCCACTACCCCCTTCCCCCCTCTCCCGACGAATCCGACGTAGTCATCCGTCGACACACTGTGTCCGGTGGACGATCGTGTGATTTCCTCGATTGTATCACCCTCTTATATCTCGCGATCTTTCCTCTCTCTCTCTCTCGCTCGCTCGCTCCCTCGACAGATGGTTCTTATCAGACCCGTTCCGTTTCTCGGCTACCGCTCAGTAATTATTCTTGACCACGTGTCTTGG